AATGAACGCTGAATTGAGTCATTGTCAAGAAAATTACTTCGACAATATTTACACTCTTCTAATTATTTCTTTACGGTTGTTAAAGCGGGTTACATTTGTGGCGTAATTAAATGCAATATTCTACAAGAGGCATTTATTTTACTAAATTACATATTGTGATAAAGTAGAGATCATAAATTGGATAATATCATAGCTTTTTTGTTGGAGATCGTTATGGTCAGTATTCTACTTGGATCACTTTCTTCACTAACTCTTCTATACTTGCTATGTTTTGAAACCTGTAGGCCTGAAAGTAGCTCTCATAGAGTGATGTTGGTGAACGAAAACCAAAGAATTTTACCAAAATCTACATTCACCGAAGTGAAGACTTGCAAAAGAAGCAACAACTGAAACGGTTAGCACCTGTAGCATGAAGATAAGAATAATATCATAAAAAGCATGATGAGTGAAAATGGTTAGATAAGCTTCTTCGTAAGTCGTCAATGGTTTTGTCCTCAGGAAGTCAGAATTGAGCATGACCTATATTTTGAGCATAATCTCCCTTTTAACTCTTGATCCCACCAGATTCTACGCTCTCTCCCAAGAACTGTAATTAATTTGCACTATTTACATGGTTCAAATTGTTGTCCTCATCTTTATTGTCATATTCACGACATTTCTGCCGTAGTACGCTCCGGCCTACTTCAGGTGATATCCGTTTGAATTTCGAAGCGAACACTTTATCTAGTCCACGGGCGGTAGATGTTTCTGTTTACATGCCATGCCTTATATGGACATCACAATCTTTCTCCGTGGAGTAAATAAAGGGTGTGGTTTTAAATTGCAACGTATATCACCTGAAGAAGGTCGGAACGTAGAACGACCGGTATGTCGAGATTATGAAAATAACGATCAGGACAACAGCCCAAACAATATAAATAGCGTAAACGGCTACGAGATATCTCGGAAATATAGACAAAAAATAAGCAAATAAATAAATTTAAACCACTGATTGGCTATGTTGGTGTTGAAAAAACACACACACAAGAGCTTCTGAGCAGGCGTCTTCCATAAGTGTAAGGAAAACTCGTAGCGAAAGATCTTACTTAACAAAAATCATCTAGCCCAGACTATTGTTTAACAGTATCCAGTTGACAATACAGTGAATTTATACTGAGCGCCAACTAAAATAATTGCTATATTTTAATAAGTACTTGTAAGCCACTGTTAATTTGTGAAACAAAACTATTTATTGCAGGCTTTATCATCAACCTCTTTTATGTGATGTGTCCTTTGAAGACGTAGGTGCTCAAAGCCCTCCACACCTTTCTGTCCCTTGTAGCTCTTAATAAGTTTTGTCTTTTTGCTACCTCTCCGAAACCCCGTTTTGTCACTCATCTACTCAAGCATATCAAGTATGTTTGGCGCGGCTTTCCTTTCTCCATCTTCTCCTCAATCTGTCCTGTAAGTCTCCGGTTTTCCAAGCCTTCTTTCTTTATTATGTTTCCAAAAATTTCAGCTGCTTCTTCCTGGTGTTAAGTATTCATTTTGTTTTTGTTTTCATTTTCTCCAAAACCTTGTCGTTGCTCACATGTTCGGTCCATGACATAATCGGCATCTTTCTGTGGAACAACATTTCTGTTGCTTCAAGTGTCTTCGTTATCTTTGAGGAGATTGTCCAGCATTTGCTGACAAACAGGAGGACAGATATCATGTTCAGTACTTTTTTCTTTGTTTCCAACGAAACTTTCCTGTCTCTTAATACTCTGCTTAGCTTTTGGAATGGATTTTTGGTCATCCCAAGACCTCTTCAGATGAAGAGAGTGTCATACAGGAGCATAGATATCACGTAAAACATGCCAATATTTTGTGAGAATATTCTATGACTTTTGAAAAAGAACTCATTACGATATCCTTTGTTACTTGTTAGGCAATATTTTTCAGGCATCTGTTTAAACTGACTTCTGTTTTTTCCCTATATCCGAACTATAATTTACATTATAATTTTGGAAAGGAACAATCTCGTTGAAATATAGTAGACCATTTCCAAGCTTACAGCGGAAATCGGGAAAATACTAAATTTAAAGCAAATAGTTACTACTTATTGAAATAAGAATTGTTCAGTTTAAAATAATGCCATAAAGATACGAATTAATTTTACCTCCCTTTCTCCATATCTCTCTATCTCTATGCCTGTCTCTCTCAGTCTCTTTCTCTCTCTTTCTGTCGGTCTCCGTTTCTCTTTCTCTCTATCTGCCTCTCCCTCTATGTCTGTCTGTGTCTAGCCCCTCTCTTTGCCTCTCTCACTCTCTGCTTCTCTCTCTCTATGTTTCTTTCTGTCTCTCTCTGCTTTTCTCTTTATGTTTCTCTCTGTTCTCTCTGTCTTTTGACTGTATTTCTCTCTCCCCCTCTCTCTCTGTCTATGCCCCTCTCTCTGTCTGCCTCTCTCTCACATACTGCCTCTCTCTGCCACTCTCTCTCTCTCCGTCTCTCTCTGCACCTCTCTCTCTTTCTGTCTCAAGTATGTCATAATGTAGATTCCCAATTTCAGGACAGATTAATCGTTTTGTATGCATTGTTACTTAGAGTTTTTATCCAAAGTTAAATATAATCAGTGACGAAGAATTCTACATAAGCCAACTCGATTGGAACTGATCGATATTGACAATATATAAGTCGTAGGTGTATGATGATAGTGATATATTGAGATATTTTGGATTGATACTCAATGCCTTGTGAATTGGTTTGTAGAGGAAGTCAACATTTCAAGTGTCTGACTTCAAGATTTATCCTGCAGTATTATTTAATATGAAAGATCACAAAATGAAGCCATACTGAAGTTTCATGCAAATTAAAAAAAAGAGTAAGTACCTAGAATATATTTAAATCTATGAACCGAAACACTTTTTTGAATATCTTTAAAATTTTCTGCTACAGCAATCCATTGGAATCATGAATAATTTCCTTTTTTGGCTTGTTTTACTATCAGACAGTCATCTTGGGGATGACGATGCAAAGTCTCTGATCGGGAGATTGGAGGTTTTGAGGACTCTGGAAACACCTCTTAATTGCTATTGTTCCCGCGTTCACACAGACCCTGCGTTGTATCCAAGGTTAGGGTCTCAATCATAAGCAAATAGTTACGCCACAAACAAAAATCGACAGTACATTTTTATAATAAAATGACCAACCATACATTTTAATCCAAAATGAGAATCAATGAAACACTAAATAAAATATAAACATAATTTTTATAGTAAAATTTCCAACAATAAATTTTATGATCTACAAAATGTATATCTAAAAACATACTTTTACTCTAAAAGTATACAAAATTGTGTACAAAATATCTGTAATAGAAAGCATAAAATCACATACAAAATATTTACGTTTCGGTATTAAATAACCCTTAGAATTGATATGCCACCAAACAGAATCAGCCAACAAACATGTAAGAACTATTTCAATACATTAATCTATATAATAACCTAAAATTTCGTAAAAATCAACCTCTATTCCAAAATATAACTTCAACGAAAATGCAACTTAAATCATAACTTTCACCCCCGCTAGTAATCATGTGCATAAAAGCTGAGTATCATCTACCATGTATTCAACTATGAAAGTAGAATAATGGATGGCATATTTTTATTACTTCAAAGATCACAAGAATTATTCAATTTCGGCTTTAAATAACCCATAAGTTGTTGATATGCCGTTAAACAAATCAAATCAAAAAATCAACCTTTTCTACTTGTGCAAAGCGTGGGCTGAGTTTTATAAATTAGTTTATGAGTGGACGCATCAATATAAAACCTTTATTTATGTCTATCCAGTGGCTTTTATTTGTTTTTCGTCGTACATTCGCTTTTTAACTTTATCGAGCGCTACTTAAATTGACTGGTCCACTCGTAAACAGAGTATTTTTGTGGGTGGGGGAGAGTTTTATAGATTAGCTTTCATTAGCTCTTCCATAATCAATGACGTTTGTCAGTATTGACAAATATAGATTTTTTAATCATTTTAGAAGAGGGTTCTTGTTCATAATATGAATACAGAGCCATATCGATCCCTAACATATCGATACTTGATTTTATTTACAAATGAAGCTAAACTCACATAACAGTTAATTGCGTACTATTAAGAATGGGAAAAAAGAAGAAAATCATTATTACTCAGTTACTATATACTTCATTAATTTTGAAAATACTTAAGTAGAACTGCTATTCTCAAAACCTTTTTAATCAATGACACACCTACAAGCCAATGAAATTATCACATCTATATTTTTTAGATGAGTTATTATGTACACTATTTACATTATTCGGTCTATTGTCCGTATCATTGTTGCCATATTTATCACAAAGTTTCGGCCATTGTAATATACAGTTTCATCCGATAAATTCATTATTCCAATTGTTGTGTCGGAAACCTACCACCCCTCTTGAAGATGAACTTGTCTGCGTCTGTGAATAAAGACTTTAAATAGTGGCATGTCAGTTGACATGGGAAAGAGACAGATAGACAGAGAAGTTCTTAGCTGAGCTAGTTATTGACTACTCAGGCGATTTCTGTACCTTTTTACCACTTTATTAAAACCCTTTTTATTGTTACGTGTTATTTGGCGTTTGTCTCTACTAACCCCAAATCAACATCATAACACCAATACTACGAAATTTCGAAGGACAACAAGAGAAAAACTGCGAAAATAAATTTTATGTTGTAATAAACATGGGAAGATTTCAAACTGTGATTACAATTGTTTGAAAGCCTACAGACCACTAACTAGTGTGTCTCAAACAGCGCATTGCAATTGGATCAACGACCTCTAGCGGCAAATGCAGATGAATAATGGTGATAGATTCAAAACATGCCGACAATCATATTGCCGCATTAGAGCCACGCAGTTATATTTGTAAAAACAACAAAAATTATTTCCTATCGGAAGTTTTCGCACCAAATAACTATCATTTTGGCTATATCCCTGTATACTGTCGCCTAGAAACGACACGTAATCCGGTGTTTGTCATATGTGAACAAAGCTTAGCTGTTCACAGAGGCGATAAAATGTTATTTTAGTATGAGTGTTGAGCACATAGGTGGCAGGTGTGTGGGTACCCAGTGGAAAATTTCACTCAGGTTGTTAAGACGGCTTTCTTTGTTTGAAAAGATTTTGTCGTTACGATTCGAGATGTGTAGCACCAAAATTCCCTCCCTTCTCCATTCACAAATAGGACTTTGAAGCAGGTAATGCTTTTCGGATATATTTTCTTTAATCGTGTTTCAGCACACTTGTAGTTTGGCGGTTAATTGTGAATACAATCTCCTAAATGCTATAAAACCAACCTCATTTCGAATTTCTGTTTCTTTGACTCAAAGATTATTTGTCGCTAATTGATGGAGATTTAAATTGTAAACATTACAAACAATTACAAAACACCTGTCATTTATACATGTAGACACAATATAGAAGGCTGTTATAACTAATCGTTAACATTTTTATTTTCTATAATAAGGAGATTTTTTTATGAAAAAAAAATTGATCGAAGATTATGCGCCTAACAAGTGACAAGTTAGAAAACTATTTCGTAGTCGTATCAATCCTCCGATATGGCAGTAAATATTGAACAATTTCTACACGCATGAAAAGAAGACAGGAGAGAGATCAGAAATGTCGTCCTACAGTAAAGAATGCTTAGAAAACCATGTTCAAAACCCATAATCAACAACGAAGAATTAAGAAAAATGGAAATAGAATGGATACTTATAATCAGAATGACATGAAATTTCATGGACACATAATGAAAAAAGAGCGGGTTGGAAAATTTGCGTCTCACAGGAGATGAAGGCAAAAGTGACAGATGGGGGAAGCGGTCCAACTACCTGACAAGTTTGTGTAAATAGATTTCAGAATTTTGGCCAAATGGTGCTAAGAATTACAAAAGATTCTAAGTTGAGGAAAGCCTTAGCCACCTGTAGGGACATAACACACAGAATGTAGTAAATTTTGTTATTTAATGTATATTTAACCAGGTTTAAATGTTTGTCGGAGCACTGCGGAATATAATTCAAAATGTATGGAAAAGCTGCCTAATTATTGGCAACAAATCATTGCAAATAAGGATGAATCTGGTATAGTCTTCTTAATAATAAATTTCTTTCTAACGTGTAAGTTATTGAAGGTGATTGTTAACGGTCAGTCCTGCAGGGTTCTAGTAATCAACGCAGGCGTTCTTCGGAGGCCACCTTTCGGACCAAAACCTCTTCTTTGGACAAATGATCTACTTAAATGTACAATCACTTCTTTTGTGAATATCTATGCCGATGACATAACGATATATGGGTGCACCTCTAAATCTCGTGATGACCAGAGATTGGCACCTGATCTCTCATCCGATTTAACTCTAACATCTCAGTGGTGTAAAAGCTGGCAGTTACATTCAATACCTAAAAACCAAACTAGTTACATTGAATCCTCGCCGATCAGACAGCGAACTATCACCCGACATAGTAAATGGGTGTCGCCTCAGACTGAAGTGGAACACGTACATGCAATCCACCTCTAAAGATGCAGGAAAATGACCGGTTTCCCGTGCCGCTCCAGTAAGTACTTTACCTCATGCTACCCTTTACCTTTACAAGAGCCAGATCAGGCCTAAAATGAAGTACTGCTGTCATATTTGATCAGGAGCTGCCCAGACCTCACTTTCCAATGTCAATAGAGTCCAAAAGCGTATCCGCGTCCTTGTAGGTGATAAATTATTTTCCACCGTGAAACCCCTCTCTCCTAGATGGGGTGTGGCAAGTTTCTCACTGCTCTATTACTACTTCCATAGAAAGTGCTAGAACGAACTGCATTTCATACAATAAAATAGAATTGCATTTATTGATTGAAGAATAAATTTGATAAAACGAAACGGATATTATTTATGACTCAATGAAATACAGTTGGAATCAGGCGAAAAGGCTCCCAGTAGTCAGTCCCTGAGATAAAGGCGTCGCATCAGTGGCCAGTTGGAGACCAGTATGCATAGACGGTGTACAATAAACAGAGGTAAATTTTGTCCAACAGACAAAACACCGTCGAAAACGTTACACGGAGACTCGCTCCTCTACATAATTTCAGTGTCTTTTCAGGTGTACTACTTGCAGATAACGTTCTCCTACTCTCTAATATGTCATATGGAAACATATCCCCTATGAAGGGAGCTGATCGACTTCATTTGAAAAGACGGTCGAACTGACGACGATAGAGAAATAAATACTCTCAGAACATTTGAAAACATGTTTTCAGACCAAAACACCGAATTGTGAAGGAGTAGTTAAAAGTTGTACTAATAACTGCTTATGAATTTAAGGGTGAAGTTTTGTAAAATTCATTATCTTAAAATGATTTAGAAGAAAATCAAATTATAGAGGTTTCTTTCCGGAAGCGTTTGGATATTTCTTATCATTTATTGTAATAGAATTTATCACCATTTACTAGCAGAAGTTAGCATTTCTATTATAGAATTTCCATTA